AAATGATACCAATGGCTTTCATGTTGAACAAAGCCAATGGTTCCCTTTCTCTGTTGTTATTATCTCATTTTAGGGGATTAAGTTATTGTGAGTGAAATCAGATTAGCTCCAGGAATTGAATCTATCTTGGGAGGCACAGCAACACAAAGAGAATTTTCAGGGCATATGAATTCTTCTTCATTCTTGTGAATTAAATCTGTCTGAAGACTCTTCGGCCTTCTTTTCTTGAAGTTTCTTTTGAAGCTATTTGCTTTTACAAAGAAACAAATACCACTTCATTGCCTTTTTAAAAAAATTAAAAAATTGTGTCTAATTGTGTGACCAAAACTTGATTTCCACTTAATTCTCAGATCCAGAGAAACTCTTACTTGCATTAAGTTGTCTATGGAACTGTCTCCAAACTGCTGAAATAATGCAATTATTCTATTGCTGAGTTCTTTCTGTTTGCAGTGGGCAAGTTAGCATTGCTTGATGCTCAGTGTCTAATGGTTTCATTCAGTCCTTTGTATGAGTGGAAATGTAGGACATGGTGCCTGAAAGTAAGACAGGGCCGACACACATTTTTTACCCAATGGTCAGTTTTCAGGTACCATGCACCTGGGAGGACTCTTTTTGGAAGAGTACAAACACTCCTACCCACCAGTTAGTTTTCAAGCACTTCACACTCAAGAAGGACTCTCTAAACATAGTATGGGCACTCCCTTTTCTATTTTGACTTGGCAGGGGACTAGGCCAGCAATTGCCCAGACAGAAGCCCACTCACTCAGCTTTTTACAGCCTGTCAATTTACCTTGTTTTCCAAGGTCTCCCAATCATGGCTCAACATGAGCTCATAGGAGTTGGGGTGTGGCTGAGTATGACAAGGGATGTAGATGCAGGGCAGCAACACACACTCATTCACTGGGCATACAAACACAAATTTGTGAGGTAGTTACCCACTGGGTCATCCAGTTCAAGCTGCTTGGCCCCAAATCAAAAACTCCCTTTACTATGTGCCATGGCAGGCATTGCTCAGGGCAGCACACTCCAGACAAATGGTCTGGTGCCAGCTACATGAAGTTTCACATTCGCCAAGTTAGTCTCTGAGTCCCTTAGTGGTTGCCAATTGTTAGAAGAAAAGGTTCTAGGTTAGAATTCAAGCTGGGTCACTAATAAACACGCTAGGCAACTGCTTGAAAAGGAAGATTTATTCACTGGCTTAACATAGAGAATAGCAATTGAAGATATGCTACCAAATTAATAGATGAGAGTGGTAATACTTACAGCAACAATGGACTGTAAACGTGAAGTTATAGACTTTGATTTGAAGCATGTTAGATGCATAAATAAAAGTATTCCTGCCTGGAGGTATGTGAAAACTGGGGAGAAAAATCTTTTCTTGCCCTGTGGGGTGTCTTATGCAGATGTTTGCTTGGATTTTTGGATTTTTGTGAGGGGTCTACAATTAGGGTGCAGATATTTTCCTTATCTTGGAGGCATTCTGTTTTATGTTTGCTGGTACTGAAGAAGCACATTTAATCAATTGTAGCCCTGGTATCAGTGTCGACAGAGAAAGTTTAATTGGCTTGTTTGTATCTTTATTTTGAGGCTTGCCTGCAGATCAGAGGTGGCCGGGGCTGCTGTGGACCTGGCCAAAGGGGGAGGGGGCTCTACAGAGATTTTTATTTTTCAGCACTACTAAAAGCTGTTTTGGCTGTATTATGACATAAGTATGTATCCAAGATTGCATGCTGGTATTTATAAGACCAAAGCAAAAGGTTGTGTCATTTGACAGTCTTAATTTACTCCATAATAAAGTACTTTTTGTTTCTCATTTGCAGTAGTCTGTCTTCTTTCGTGGATCACTTTGTGTTCCAAAGGGACCTCACTGTGGCTCACATGGGTGGAAAATACTTTGTACATGAATAAAATTCTAATTGTACCATGGACTCTAGTTAATATGTGATCCAAAGAACCAGTTTGTTGATATGTGTGTGAAACATGGCTAAATAGGAAAATAGCTCTTTCTGTTTACCTTTTTAAGAGTTCACTTTACTTTGTTGACGTAAACTGCTAAGAGCCAGCTGCAATGAGAATTGCCTTAGTTACAGGAAATCTAACATCTCTTCTTCTTCCTCAACCATTAATTGTTTGGTTACCAACTCATCCGCAGTGCTATCCATCTTTCTGGAATTCTTCTCTCTTCAGTCTTTTCCAGGTAGTGGAAGACAGATTTAGCTCCTCCAAGAAGAAAATCACAGGAGAAAATTATAGAATCCCACTTGGTAGCAAGGGTTTTGGGATCTCAGATCAGAGCAAATCTTTTTCATATTTCTGGTTCCAGAAAGTGGTGAAAAGCTGTTTGCAAGAACATTTAGATAGGAATAAGAGTTGTTGCAAGCATAAATATTTAGTAGATCTTTAGGGAATAAATAAGGACCTGTAGTGGATCTGACATAGAAAAACAACTTTTCAGAGTAGCATATTTAAGAAATTAAATTGGTTAAAATGATTGCTCAGGTGCCTCTGCCATGTTTGGAATGTTAATTCATAATTTGGAAGAACAGATAAGAATAGATACACGACTGGTTTGGATTGGTCCTTTCCAAATTCATTTTGAGCATTGTAAGTTGATTATAGGGTTGAATTGTAAGAGATGTATTACTTGCTTCTCAATCTGGTCATTCTTATTAATTTCTGTTCCTTTTGTAATAAGCTATGGATGTAATGGGAGTAATTGGGAAACAGTAGTCCCCTTCTCAGAATGAACTATGTCCCCTCCTTAATGTATTTCCTTTGTTTTCCAAGGGAATCTTGATCTCATAGAAAAGCAGACTAGTTTCCTCTAACTAGTGGTGTAGAAGAATGAGTCCTATATAAATAAAATATTGTGCTAGTTCTCTCTGACGTTGACCTGTACTTACTCAAAATGAAAGAGTATTGCTAAGTATTAATAAATTAAAAAGCTAATAAATAAAATACATTTATTAAACAAAAAGCAAAGTATTGATTAATAATTGAGTATTATCAAGTATTATTATCATTAAGTTGTCTCACTTACTTTGGCCATGTCATGCGGAGGAATTATATTTGGAAGAGTTAGCGGTAAAGGAAACCAGGCTATCAAAGAACATGTTGGCTAGACACTGTCAAAGCCAGGGGTCTTCAAACTCGGCCCTTTTATGACTCATGGACTTCAACTCCCAGAATTCCTCAGCCAGGCACACTGTTTGAAGACTCCTGATCAAAGTTGACACCAGCCAGAGCATAGAAAAACTCAAAGATGTAGTGCAGATCAGAAGATAGAATCATCAAGAGCTGGACATGACTGAATGGATATCATCATCATCGTCGTTGTTAATTCATAGCAGATTTTATTCCTTACATTCATTTATGTCATCTCAAACACTTTGTATATTCCTTTTTGAGAAAAATGTATTGGTGCTGTTGTTATTATTATTATTATTAAAATTTCAATTGCTAATCCTCCCAATTCAAAGACTTCTCTGGGCAGATTACATTAACTTGTTCTGGCATGATTTCTTCAGTCATGAAAAACGTCAGTTGGGAAATGTAAGATTCCCATTCTAACTATGATTTGGAAACTGAGGATTATGCCAAGAAAGAAAGGTGAAGGGAACAGATAAACGGAACAATAAATATATATTATTTTTAAATAAAACCTTACACGTTATGATTTATACCCAGGCCTTTTTTAGAGTCAGTCTTCTTGAAGAAAGATCTTCAATTCTCAGAGCCAGTATTGAGGAGGACAGGTTGAAGCGTAAATGGATAGCCCACCTTTACACCTGGACCTGCAATTTAGGTGAAAAATATGGCTGTGTGGGAGCAAGACTATTTTAAGAAGCACGCATACTGGTTCTGCAACTCTTTGGATCTGTAATTTGAGCAAGTTGTAAGCTCTCCATTGACTTATGCAACAGTTCTTAAATGCTTATGGTATTCTGAGATCCTACTGGGTGTAGTGTATACCAAGAAAATAAAAAGGGAAACAGAAATCACCTGGCTGATGATATTTTCAGGCTTTCCTCATAATGTTTGACATTAGTAGCCCTGGATGTAGTTTCTGTAGCTACTCTTTATTATGCTTTAAATTGCAAACTACTGTTCTCTTCTAGCTCTACCTTTATGCCATGTTCCTTCATATAGCATATAGCACAAAATAAATATATGTCTGGTGGGGGGAGGAGACGGAGAGGACAATTTTGGTGGCATCAGGATGCATCATAGAATTTCTGTAATTATAGCAATGCTTTTGTAGTTCCTCTGATTGTGGAAATTGCTGCAAGCTGTATCTATGATTGCTTCTCATGTTATCCACATATATGAAAGGAGAAGAAACAGCATTTGGAGCAATTTGTTAATAGTCTACAAATTTGTTACCCTTTAAAAGCCTTTTTTTTTTTTACATTTAGAATGTCTAGGAAATTTATCCAATTGTTTCCAGATTTGGAAAATATTCTTTATGAGCAGAGAGAAATGGGAGATAAATTCCAGCATGAAAAGAGGAGCAGGCATTTTATTTCACTTGCAGCAGCTTCATATTTCCATGTATCCTTTATCTTAGTTGCATCAGCCACATAAGTTTAAGTAAGGCATAGGTGCAGGAGGAGAACTTCATAGCTCAACCTGGCACTGTGTTCACTGCATCAGGCCAGCAATAGATTTTAAGTACTGATTAACTAGTCCTGAATAATGAATAGCTCCTTTCCCCAGATAGTGCGCATTTTGCCTGCCTTGTATTATTTTACACAATGCTTTACAGAGGGCTCTGTTCCCCTTTACAGCTTCTGGATATTGTGGTTACCCTGTCTACATAATGAAAAGAATCTAAGGATGTACTTATCTGCAGCTACAACTCTGACTTTGATTTCTTTGCTGTATTCCTGGTTGATATTGCTGTTTTTTTGCAAGATAGCATGAATGACAATCCTTTGGGATATGGGGAGAAACACTTTGCCTGATCGTTATGATATTCATATACTTTTTTTTTAATATAGTTTCCAGGCACCTGTGTCGTGAGCAGACCCTGAGCTGGGGTAGCCCAGAAGATGACAGAGTACAAACTGGTGGTTGTTGGAGCAGGAGGCGTTGGGAAAAGTGCATTGACTATTCAGCTGATTCAGAATCATTTTGTTGATGAATACGATCCTACCATAGAGGTGAGGAATCTGCTCTTTTCTCCACAAAGTTGTCTCCTTCTCTCTTAGCCTTAATGTTTGTATGTATTCAATCCATGTTTATAATCTGAATTTAATCATTCTTTCCACCAGAAATGTAAGTGAAGAATGAGAAACAGACTGATATTCTCTTTCCTAACATGATAATAGGTGATCCAAAGAAAAATAAAACCTAATAGACACATTAAACTAGACAACTTTCTACAACCTGATCCTCTCCGCATGCTTTGGATTACAGTTGCCATTTCAGGGTCATGCTGGTTGTGGGTAATGGGAAATTGCAGTCCAGTTCCTCTGAAAGGCACTCACTAGCTTTGGCATTCTATCATTTTGCTGTGAGCATCATTTATTATTCTTGAGATTTTTTGTTAATGGTTAAGATGGTCCTATGGACTTTAGAAATCCAAGCCAGCTTTGTTATATACTCTAATTTATGTCTTATGTTGTATTAATCTACATGGTCTGTTAAGTATGAATTGGATTATCTTGAAATTCCATTACATGACTTTGCAGAGGAATGTTCTCCTGTTGAGGAAATGTTTAAATTCCCCCACCATATGCGCTTTCTCCCTCTCTTCTCCCTCTCCCTCCCTCCCTCTCTCTCTGTCTCTCTCTCACACATACACACACACAAAGTTTATAAATTAGGGACCATGTGCTATACCTGTATCATAGGACTGATCCGTGATAGATCAGGAAAGCTGAGCAGCCTAGCAATATATAATAATGCATGCATCTAGCTTCTCTTTTGGAAATGTAAATAGTTTAAAAATAGAACTATAGTTTTCCAAAAAAACACATTTATTTTCACCAAGAAGAGTGCATGTTCTGGATGATTTTTACTAGGGTCCAAACACAAAAAAGGAACTTGTTGCCAGCTAGCTTGATATTTCAGTCTGATAGAGGCAAATCATAATGCTTTATATGGGCTTTCTAACGGCAGTCTATTTAATGGGTCTTAATTGAGAAAACAAGCTATACAATGTACCCCCTTTCCTTGAATGAAATCCATGTATGCAGTTGGTAAATACTTAAGGGAAACTGTGGAGTTGCATGCTCACCGACAGTTTTAGTGACTTAAGCCTTTCTTGATCAGCTCTTTTATCCATCAGAATGAATAATGGGGCTGCTTTGCAAAACAATAACATATAATTTTACCCTCCTTTTGCAGTGACAGCAGTGGTGTGCCATCAGCATGAGAGAACTTGCAGTATTCTAGAAGAAAATGGGTTGGCATAATAATCTATTGTATTATTTATTTATTTATTTATTTATGAGACTTATATACCGCTTTAAGTGCAAGTACTCTCTAAGCGGTGTACACCAGTAAGCAATGTATATTTACATTGCTCCCAACAATCTGGGTTCTCATTTTACCTACCTCGGAAGGATGGAAGGCTGAGTCAACCTTGAGCCGGTGAGATTTGAACCGCTGACCTGCTGAACACAGTCAGCTAAAGTGGCTTGCAGTACTGCACCCTAACTGCTGTGCCACCTCGGCTCAATATGATTGCTTTTTCTTAAGGTGAAAGTAGGAGAAAGATACTGAAAGGGAATAAATACATTATCTAAGAACTCCAGGATCTGGATGTTTCAAACTTCTCACTGTGCCCATGCCATCAACAAATGCTGGGGTTTCCATGCTGACTTCCCTTCTCACTTTGTGATTCTTTTAGTAAATGTTGGAATAAGACAGTACTAAAATGTTATATAATCCCCTACCCCAAATTGGGCAAGACCAAGGAAATGGGAAGTATGATATTTCAGTAAGGTATGGGATGAATACAAAGTCTTGGAAACTATCACAGGAATTTCCCAGCCTTATTTATAGTGAGTTAATTAAGATGGAGTATGTTCAATACTTTGAAATGCTTCTTCCTGAACTTCTTTCCACATTGACTAAGTTTACGAGATAACCTGTCTACTGACTCCTGTGCTATCTGGTGTTTGTATATGTGGAGGAGCAAGAAGGGGTTGCAGCCAGCTATAGAAATCCTATAGATTTGTCTCACCAGGCATCCTATCCTACAAAATAGAATAGGGACCTTGTTGGTAGACTAGGTTGGTGGACTAGAAATAGATTCTGTTCTCTATTCTCAGAGAATCTCAGAACAATTATACTGGCATCTACGCTAATTTTGCCTGGTTCAGGATTCTAGGGTTACCATGGTAACCCTGGGGTTTGCTCAGAACATCATCGGTCCCAGACTCTTTGCAGGGCATAGTTTAGGCCAGTAGTTCTCAACCTGTGGGTCGGGACCCCATTTGGGGTCGAACAACCATTTCACGGGGGTCACCAAACAACGTAGTCCGCCATTTTTTTTCCCGTTTTCCTTAGCTGTGCTACTCCCTTTTATTCTATTGGCTTTTGAAACCCAATAGAATAGATTCTCTTGAATAGAGTCTAATTCTATTGGCTTTCAAAAGCCAGTAGGAATTGTCCAGGTTGTCTCTGCCCTGCTGAGCCCGCCAAAAGTCCCATTCTGCAAACGGTGCTGCACCAGTTGAGTAGTCCTTGACTTACGACCGGTTGAGTAGTCCTCGACTTATGACCGGTTGAGTAGTCCTCGACTTACGACCGGTTGAGTAGTCCTCGTCTTACGACCGGTTGAGTAGTCCTCGACTTACGACCGGTTGGGGGGTCGCGGCATTAAAAAGGTTGAGAACCACTGGTTTAGGCCTTTAAAAATATTGTCACAAACCAAACATAGAAGTTAAAACAGAACAACACCTGCCCATCCAATAAAAACCTATTCATGCCTGACGTAGGTATACCCAAGGATTCAAACCAATTCAAAAGTTTCTACTTTCTATAGTATTAAATTTGGCAAGATTTCTAGAGATTTCTTAATCCTTGTCATTTAATAAGTAGCGCGTAACTACCATATGAGAGTTGTCTCAACAGTTTGTAAACAGAGGAAAGATTAGCACTGTCTTCCTAAACTGATATAGGACATTCCAAAAATCTGTAAGCTACCATGTCAGTTTTAAAGTCTGAGCAGATATGCGAATGTTCTTAGTAAGGAGTGTCATTGTATTTGCCCAACAATCCCATTCAAATGAACTAATATCAAGGCCTTTCTGTGAGATAAATGGTAAAGATTTTTGGGGATTTAAAAAGAAGGGTGTGTGAGCTTATTGTAGCAGTGATGGCAAGTGTTGATTCTCTCTTGGTAAATCAAAATCTAAATTTCCATGCTTGAGCTCTTTCTGGGCTTCACTGAAGCTTAGCATTGATGCAGACTGGAATCATCTATTATTTACTTATTTCAAGAAGATTGATACCTGTCTTTCAAAACCAATTGTGCTAAAGATTTGCATGCCCCTTGCCTTCATTTGTTTAAGCCAGTACTTCAATCAGCAAAGTCATAATTGAGTCTTGAATGAAATATAGCCAGGTTCTAGCGGAAGAAGCATGTTAGTGACAGAGCGCGGAACTCAAGGTAAGGGCAGCCAAAATTTAGATTGTACAGCTTCTAACGCAGAGGTGTCTTTATAAGTGCAACCTGTCTCACAATAGAACTGCACTTTGCAGGTTTACTTCTTGATCTGATTTGGGGTAGAGTGGGAGTGGCAGGGAACCAGTGGTTCATGCATGTCACCTCTTGTCATGAATGGCTCACTTCCTGATAAGATGTGAGCTGGCTATGGCTGACCTCTGACGTGAACTAGAAATCCAAATTCTTGTAGCTTCTCTTGAGCTTGTCAGGTGCCATGTGAGCAGAGTTTATAGGTTCATTGTCAATTGCTGTGATCCAAGAAAGCAGAAAGATGGGAGGAGAAGTCACTTGTGCTTTGGATTTTTTTTCCCCATTGGAGAATTTAGAGTCTAATGCAAATCTGGGCATTTGACAGGCCCCAGGCCATACCTGGCCTTTTAACTGTCCCTGTCTGGCTTTCATGAGGTCAGCCAGAAATTAGAAATCAAATAGATATAAGTGTGTTCTATGCACACAATACAACTGCCTTGCTGTTATTTTGAAGTGACTTGTTATTCTTTTTTTCAGTTTACATATGTGCGTGCATGCCTATGCACCATCGGGGCCCTCTTCTTTCAGGCTTCCACAACAGTCCCATGTGGCCCTTGGGAAAATTAATTGCCCACCCTTGGTCTAATGCAGTGTTTCCCAAACTTGACAATTTTAAGGCATGTGGACTTCAACTCCCAGAATTCCACAGCCAGCGTTGCTGGCTGTGGAATTTTGGGAGTTGAAGTCCTCATGCCTTAAAATTGTCAAGTTTGGGAAACACTGGTCTAATGAGACAACGGCAAACAAAGTGCAAAGGAGACAATCACCTTGGGGCAGGCAGAAAGTGGAGCTCCGCCTTGTCAGTACTTCACCACATGCCTCCATTCTCTTCTTTGCATTAAAAGTATGGTGTAGAGAAGCAGAGAATGACTGAGGGCACAAGAGACAAAAGAAGGGTTACTGCTGCCTTTGTTGGGTCAGCTCTGGGGCTGCTGAGTTTCTCTCTTTCGTCTTCTCAATTGCAATGTTTGAAGAGGTAGTGGTGGGGAGACTTTGTGGGTTCAAGTCAGCTGCCAAATGGGGAAGATACTGCATGTAAGTCTTCCCCGCTCTTCCACCAACCCACCCTCAGTTGCTGCAGTCTGGGAGACAGCCTTGGTGCCTCAGATCTCTCACAGTTTGGGGTCTCATCTGAGAGGTTTGTCTCCAGGCCCGAGAGCTCTGTGGACATTATTGGTGAGGGTTGCCTCAGATGTTTTCTTGTCTTTTTATCCACTGAATTCTTCAAGTGATAATCAGACCCCCTTTTATAGACTGGGATGGTATGACCCAGGCATCCAGATCTGCAGCAGAGCCTGTCTGTGTTTGAGGCAGGGTTGTGATGGTGGTAGCTTTTCAAAATGCAGCTGCATGTGACAAATAATTCTGCGCAAGATCTGCTATATTTAGAATGTGAACAAGAGGTGGATAATATGTAACTGCAGCAGGAAAAGTAATACTAGAAAGATTATT